GGCTCCATGGGGAACAGGGAAGGCATCAGCAACTCCAGGCACACCTGGAGTTAGAGAGGTGGTGTGGGTGGGAGCATGACAACTATTATAAGAACTGTTTACTCCAGTTCATTAAAAGGGCCTTCCACATCCCCACTCTCAACACCTCAGGAGACGGTCCTGCTGTGATAGATATGTTGGGCATATCACAGGACTCTGCCTTTCAGTATTGCCCCTCCGCTGTTTCTTCCTCTCATCAGGGTCTTTCAAAAGAGGAATTAATGCCACAGGAACCAGGGCCCAATGAAATCAAGAGGCGCTAGGGTCGTTGTGTTTATTGTCTCCATCAGCCCACAAATGAACACACAAGCTTGACCAGGGACTGATTTTACTAGTAGCAGGCTCAGCATGTTGCTGTAGTTCATCAGAAGGACTTGGAAAGCACAAATACAAAGGTGTTTTACATAAAAAAGCTGGCTTCTCTGCTCTCAGGCACTGCATTGCTTCCAGGTGTATAATTTGGAGCAATGGTGCAATCCAGTGGCTGGTTTGGATAGTGACACAGTGTTACTGTACAAACTAATCCACTGAAAGACCAGGAAGCACCTAAAAGGAGCTACAATACCACAGAGTCTGCAGAGAAGCAGTGACATCTATTAATGAGTGATCTTAAGGAGATGTATAGATGATCCATGGGTTTTTGGAGACATATGGAAGATCCATGGGTTTTTTGATTAGAGAGGCTCAGGACTGGGTTATTGGAATCAATCAATTCTTAAGGTGCAGTAGCTCCTCACAGAACTGTACAACCCTTGCCAATATTTTTTTGAATCTGACTTCTCTGCAGTGCTGAGCACATTGGCACCGAGACCAGCACCACATTTCTCTGGAGCAGAAAACGTATCCCAGAAGAGAGCCACCCAGGACCAGTTTAAATATGTTGATTTTCTGAGGGCTAGCTTCTGGAGGCTGGAGTGTGGATGTATTAGATCTGCTACTATAGGCATTTTGGCCTGGAGAGCACATGGAGAGATGCAAAGTGGACCTGCAGGATTTTCATCCCAATAGGAAATGGTGTAGGCTTGCTATCACTGCTCATACAAGGAATCACAGAGGTGAGGCCATAGAAATCCCATAGAAATAGAATGTTGAAAACCCTATTCTGAAGCCTGACTTATCCAGTGAAGGATGAAGAAGCATCTCAGAACTCTGAGAATTACCTCTGGGCTCCCACTCTGGGAAAGCATCATTTTGTGGCAATGACTTAAGCAAATCTTATGCAGTGCTCCTGAGAAACCTCTGCTGGGAGGGGAAGCATTTAGGAGTCTACCTTACTGTGTGTATTTTTTACATGTGGTTCAGTCTGAATAAAAGGGAGACAAGGTGTTGCTGAATGAAGCTGATCACCACTTTTGATCATATGAGATAGAAAATTATCTTCTGCAAACCAGGCTGCAACATGAGTGTATCCAAGAAAATGCTCAACTCTGGGATCATCTCCCCATCTTCACCTCCCACAATTCCTGGCCATGCAAAAAGAAGCCCAAGAAACAGATCCCAAACCCCAACAAGATTATGGTGGGCGTCTTTCTTTGTAGCTTGTAGAGTCAACAAGTTGGTCAAAAAGGCAACAGTAGCTAGATTAATGAGGGAAAAAAGACATTGCAGTGGAAAGACCAAACTGCATAGCCCTTTTGAGTCAGCCCAGTGTCTCACTTCTTAAGCATGCAGCCTGGCCACTGAAATACTTCTGAGAGAACATCTCCTTACATGAAGCCAGCTTGTGTCACAGAGTGTCCCAACGAGCTGGCTAGCAGGGTTACTGTAGCAGAAGAAATAAAAACAGTATAGTCATCTGTATTAGAAAAGACAGAGGAATAACCCTGGTGCAAGCCAAGAGAAGAGAAGAAAGACTACAGGTTTGATTTAAAGTATCATCTATGAAAAAAATAAACAAGTTAAAAAAAAACCCCACCCACCACACACAAATTCCTGAACTCTGCTCAACAAGTAGGAGGAAAATATATGACAGTTTCAAGGATAAGGGAAAAATCCAACCTTATTTTCCATTATATGCAACTGTTTAGCAGTGACTTGAGGCTATATCTGAATACTCCTACAACCCAAACTAAGACTGACACATCCGCTGCATTTGAAAAAATACACTGAAATTGCAGAATTACCACCCAAGAGCCCCTGCCCACACACAAAAGTTAAGAAACAACTTTTGGAAGATGCAAAAGGTGGAATGTCAATGTTATTCTTCAGTGCAAGCAAACCATTAAGTGACTCTTGCTGACAAAAAGTTTGGTTTGCCCAAATCTGCACAGTAACCATGTGCAAGGCCTTTTAAAACTGCACATGTAAAAAGGAGACATCAAAGTGCAGTTTATTCTCGTGATAAGTGTGGCACCCGTTTTATTCTGTTTTAACATAATTTGCCAGTTCCAGACTGACAGGGCCAGATCCTGAGCTAAATGCTGCAGTCTCTAACTGAAGAAGGCTCTCTGAAACTCCAAGGGTGAGCTTACTGGAATGATCTGGATGTATCCATATATTGTGGATGCATCTGTAGTACCTTCCAGGGCTTGACCCATTCAAGAACAATTTCCAAATAATAGAGCTTTCTGCCAATAATCAGCAATTACTTGTTTATAGGAAGTCAAAGAAGGACTAGTGCTACCACAGATGTGTTTGGCTGCATCCTGATCTGTCAGTAAAACTTGGCACCCAAATGCCATTTTGTGCAGGAACAGTTTTTGGTGTTTGACCCAAGTGAGGGAGGAACTAATCTGGAAAATAATCAACACCCCAAGCTTGTTTTTCTCAGCAATGTTCATCTTATCCCAGAGAGTGCAGCTGGTCGCCTTCCCCCTTGCTGGGCACAGCAGAGGCTGAGAAGCTGCAGGAATGTTTGTGCAACAAAGGCCTTTCTTCATCCCTTCAGTCAACATGCCCTTGGGATCTGGAGTTTTCTTCACAAAGCCTTTATACACTTGACCACTGCCTGGTTTGCTAGTTGTAAGGTGTACTTGGCTGCCAACACTCCTCACTCCAGGAGTGGATGACACAAAAAGCTGTTAAAAATAATTTTTAAAGACAATTTTTCCAAAGATTGAGTGCATTTGTATGACAAATCAGGTTTTAAATTGAACCAGTTAAACTGAAAATCTTTTTCCTCCCTTACCTTGACATATTCCTCCCCTCACAAGTCCTATAAAATTCTCAAGAGCTGTATAAAATTTTTTCTTCAGATTAATTTCTGTTCCCTTCCCCAGGGAGGTTTGAACAAGATTTAAGAATAGAATCAATTACAAAACTGCACAGATGTGGGGTGAGATCTTAGAATCACAGAACAGCCTGGGTTGGAAGGGACATTAAAGACCATCCAGTTCCAACCCCCTGCCATGGACAGGGACACTTTCCACTATCCCAGGTTACTCTAAGCCCCATCCAACCTGGCCTTGGACACTTCCAGGGATGGGGCAGCCACAGATTCTCTGGGCAACCTGGGCCAGGGCCTCACCACAGTCACAAGGGAGATGTATTTCTAATATCTAATCTAAAGTGCATTTAAAGTCATTTAAGTTTTGTTCTTAAATGGTTTGCATCTTTTGTCTGCTCTAGTACCCACATGCCATCCAGCTTCCAATTTTTAGGTGCAGCATTTCCATTTCTATTTTTTCTACTGTATTTTACTGTGTAAAGGGATTGCCTGTAGATACCCCAAGAGTTACCAACTTCTCCAGCTTCCTGTTGTGTGTTACCTCCCAGATGACTGTGTAACCATAAGGATTAAGAATGCAGTGTCTTAATAATTCACAGTCAGTGTAGTATTTCTGACAGAGAGACATTGCTGTAGAGAATTAGAGAGCACAAATACCATATCTGTATTTTAACATATGACTGAAGGTAAAATCCAGAAGCTCACAAACTAGCAGCGTTTACACCTGTATATGGAAAAAAAAATACAGTTTGTGATTGTGGAAAACAGAACATTACAATCTCATATTTCCATAGAACTACTAAAAGTGAGAAGATAAATTTTCCTCTTAGGAAATCAAGCCTGATGTATTCCAGTCCTTTGATTGGAAGAGATGAATGAAGCATGAAGCAGAGATACTTGCTCTTGGGGATTACTGAGCATATTCAGGCCTGACTGAACATCATGAATTTCAGAGGGATCTAAACCATCCACAGTAATGGGCAATAAAAAGCTCAAAGCTGGTGAGAAGAGCACGTGGACTAGAGGAAAACAGTGTCATGGAAGTGCTCACAGCTCATAGGGTATTAAAGAGGTAACATCAGCTAAAGAAAGCAAGCCTAGTGACACTGTAAACCTGTCAGCGGGGACTGCTCCTCAGGAGGAAAGCCAAACAATACATGTAGATAGATAGGGAATGGGTGATACATAAGAATCAATTAGTATGGATAAGCCTAAATCAGTGGTGCAGTGTGGAGGCAGGTCAGCCTGCCAAGGCTTTCCCCTGGAGGATTGTGCCCTCAGGGAGCTGTGTTAAGCTTATCTCAACCCTCTCCTGAAGAGATACCCCTTAGATGGGACCATCCTCTCTTGTCATGGTGAGCTGTCCCACCATGCTTGGTGACTATGCTGATCCCTTGAAACCCATTGGTTTTCCCCCCTGTACAACCCTGGCCTTCCCCCATAAAAACCCCAGCTTCTGCCCAGTTCAGCAGGGAGGTGTCAGCCCTGGCTACCCTTTGCAGAGCTGCTGGACAATAAAGGCTGTCTCTGGAATCACCACACGACGTTCCTGTCTCTCTGAGTCGGCCCAGGATAACCTTGAAAGCAGAGCTGGAATCACTGAGCTGAAATCACTTGAAGCCACAGGCTGCTCCTTGCTGAGGTTACCCAGTGGCCAGGGATTGCAAGACCCCCAAAGGCTGTCTCCTGTGAAACCACTCTCTCTGAGAAGATCGTGGCTTCCTGGGTCAGACCAACAGACCAGGCCTGTGCTACGCTACATTAAAAGAATGTGATGACCTCACAATTAAATAAACAAGTGTAGAGATGCATTGTTAATTTACATTCAGTCAATCATCCTCCAACACACTGCCTCTTTTCCTCTTGCTGTGTACATCGAACCTTCAACCAACAGATGATCCACTCAGTAATTTGAAATGTAAGAAAGACAGGTAAGAACATTATCCCTGCTTTCTGAAGAGGTATAGAGCTATTAAGTGACTTAAATCTAGGCAAAAAAGCCCACATAGCTAAAACTCTGCCTAAGACCATTCACTTTTGCAAGTGAAAAAAATTTATCATCCTAAAACAATTAGGAAATAAACATATTCTGGAAGAGTTCACAGCTTTAAACTGAAAATGCTGAGAGAGACCCTCAGTAAGACACATACATGCTTAACCTCCAATGCCTCATCTTACAAAGGTGAGCAAGTAACAATAGACTTCTGACAGATTTATTAGCCCAGCAGTTCCACAGCTGTTCAAACATCCAGTTTTCTCTTCCCCTCTGCTGTGGCTTTGGCAGAGGATCCTGGCAGCTCCTCTCTCAGGTAGACAATCCTGCTACGGGTAGGCAAGCAGCCAACTTGCTACTCCATTGATGCAACAGAACACCAGAAGGGGCATCATTTGAGAAAGAATAGGGTGTTCTCATTATTTAATCACTACTCAAATTACCTGCTTGGAGAATATTAAAGTGCCAGTGTAATTATGTGTCTTGGTTTGAAAGGGAAGTGTCTGCCAAGGAAGACAGGAGCCTCCCTTGGAATGGAAAATGTAAACCCCTTCCCTCTGAATCATTATAATTTTGAAATTTTAAAAATCTTTCAGGCAAATATATGAGAATAGGAATGACAGTTCTTTACTAGTATGTATAATAAAGCAAACAAACAGCAATTTTGGCATTAACACCAAACAGAACAGGAACCCAGTGCCAGCCCTCTCTCGGCCGCAGGCACTTTCCCCTTGGGTGCAGTTCCGGGCACGGCCGGCAGGGGCGCTGGTGGCTCCCGGCCGGGCAGGGCGGGTGCGATGATTCCCCCGCGGCTGCAGGGGGCGCTGTGGCGCGAGCTCAGGGAGCACGCGGTAATGGCAGCATGACAGAGGTGGGAAGGGATGGAAGAAATGCTTTCTTTAAAAACCCACAGGATCAGCTGATCCCAATGCCCCAGCTGGACTCTTGGAAGCGGCAAGCTGGAACGGCAGGAATGAGCAAAAACCCCAGGGTGGTGGAGGAGATGTATCAAACTCCGTAGCTGTAGCTGAAACCACAGATGTCTTGGCAGGCAGGGGATGCAGGGCTACAGGGTAGTAACAGCTTGGAGCAGCGCTGAAGAGGTAGCAGGGGCAGGGCAGCGGCAGGGCAACATCAAGCAGGGCAAGGAAAGGCAGGCTCAGGATCCCAGGCACCTGAACAGATGGTGAAAAGTTCCTCTTTTAGTGAGGTACGGTGTTAATAAGGTCCCAGTTCAGCAGCTGCTGCTCTCACGACCAGAGGCTCACCCCACAACAGAAGAAACATGACTGGGCTGGATGGCGGTGGCAGCGAATTCCCTTTCCCAAGCAGCAGCTCCGACAGTCCTCAGAAGGCAAGAGATAGAGAGACAGAGATGACAGAGAGATGAGAGAGACCTGCACCCAACCCAGTTTTCCTCACTGCATGGGAAACCTCAGGTAGAGAGAGTAGCCAGCTGTACCCCTCCCCCTGTGCTGACAACTTTTGTCTTCTGTTAAGTATCCAGTCGTTATTGTCTTCTAGCATATTGTCCTCTAGCAACATGTATGGGGAAAAATTCCTGAAGAGGGAAAAAAAAAGCAAACCAAAAGGAGAACTCCTAAAACTCCAACATTATGACACTGAGATAGCACATCAAAGCCAGCTCTGGTGATTCAGGTGATTCTGCTGATCACCTCAAGAGATGCCTTCTGAGGGAATACAGAACAGTAAGCAGGACCTTCAAGCAAGGTAAATACAAAGAGATGACTCATTAGTCTAAATGATGAAGCCAAGTTTAGCCATGGAGCAACTAGACCAACAGCACAGCATCTGGGGGAGTTCACATCCACTTGTTTGTAGTATTCTGGGACCACATAAAACATTTGAACCACTTTCTGGGACTTCTCTCAATACCTAGGGGAATTCAATCTCTTGGTATAATTTCAATCCCCCAGAGGTCCCAGAGATAACATCAGAGGCAGAGCCTGAGGACCTTCAGATAGATTTATTACAGATAGAATTATTTTCAGATTTTGTTCTATTTGAGACAGATGTATTTTCCTTTTAAAAGTGTCCTTTTGACTTTGTAGAAAGGTGCAAACAAGACTGTGACTGCAAACCAAGTATTTTGTTCTCTTGGAGAGTACGATGGCAAGGATTTTTGTATTATTCAAATGGCTACATATGTTCTTTGCAGCACTGCTGGCTCAATTAATATCTGATTTTCTGCTCCCTGCCTCCAAATTATGGAACCTTTCTCAAAGATCTGGAATGACAGTTACACCTCTACAGACCACAACTCTAAAATAACACTAAAGAATTTCTGACAATTGATTTTCAAGATGTTCTTACAGCATATTTTTCTAGTAAAGGCAATCTATACATCTCTAACCAGAACTGTAGATATATCAGTTACTTCAGCATACTCACTGTCTGTATAATGGCCATAGAAGCTGGCACACAGCTCTTCTGTGTGCCTCAGAGGTTCAGATTTAGTCAAAAGCACCATTGAAACCAGTGTGCCAGGAGCTAACTGAATAATGAAAGTAATTTTCTCCATTTCTGTGACAAAAAAGCCCTCAGTTTGGACAGCATTATTTGCAGCCAATTATTCTGCTACTTCCAGCAGTGCTCCAGGGAGCTTTATTACTTCTCCACAGAGCTTAGGAGCTGTTCTTTAGGTTAATCTCTTTTAGACTCCCAGTTCCTTTTGCTTACTTAATGTTAACCCAGCAGTGCCATATGACAGGAGCTTTAAGTGCTATCTGTTGCTTTGTATTACCTCTCAAAGGACTTTGGAACCTGTCCCAACCAGGAAAAGAACAGCTTTTGATTCTTGGAATAAGACAAAAAGTGCCACAGTAACAGTGGAAGGGTGAAGAGGAATAACTGGCATATTCAGAATGCCACTTTAGGGCAAAGCTCAAGTGACACTGCCCTGCAGCAGGACTTGAAGAGTTTGAAGTCCATCACTTTATAAATATATTTTGGCAAGAACCTGCACCATTCTCTTAGACATGTTTCTCCTTTGTAATGACTGTGGTTTGTCTATAAGATTTCCATATCCCTGATGTGCTTGCACTGGGATTACTAGTAGGAGGATTACAAATTTAGATAGTCTCATATCTGTGTAGCATTTAAAGTCAAGGAACACTGGGCTTGGCCAGTAAGACCATCACATCCAGTTTCACAATTTTCAATCACATCTGCCTACACCTTTTAACATAAACCTGAAGAAGAGACGAAATTCCACTTTATCACTGTTGGAATAGGGAGCAGAACTGTGACTTCATATATTTTCATCCTGCTTGAGCAGGGAGGTTGTCCCAAATGACCCCACTAGCAGGTCCCTTTTAACCTTAATCATTCTGTGATTTTCAGGGTCTTCAGAGCAAGCTTGCTGAGTTTATAATGTTTTATTTAATTAAAAAATGGCCCTGGAAGTGTAGCTTGAACCCTGAAAGTAAAAATGCATTTATTCCTTATTTACTTATTAAATTTCCCAGAAATAGAGCTGCAGACAAAGCACTTCTGTGAATACCACATTTGTTACCTGTGACAAATTTAATTCAGCAAGCTCTAAACCACAGGTCAGTCAGCCTGTTCCATTATGGTATCATCAGGGCAACTTATGTTAACTGAAGCCAACTGAGGACCTCTTCATCCTAAAGAGGACAATAATAAGCCTTTTACTTCAGCTCAGCAGAATTCACAGTTCATCCCAACAAGAGGGAATGAATCCCAGTAGGTGTGAGTGAACCCAACCTCTTTAAATACTTATTTATCCCTAGCACAGCTGGTAATCACAGTTTTGGGGGTGAGGCTAGGTTGGATTTCTCTTTTCTGTCCTTCTCCAGGGTAGTCCTAGTGAAGTGGCCTAAGATTCTATCTTCTGAAGAGCCTAAGTGCTGCTAACAAAAGCCTCTAGATCTTTCTCATGCTGCTAGTAGAGCTGTGACTTTGAAGACTTCACTCTAAGAGCTTGAAATGTAAAAGCTGATTGGATGTGCTTGGCTGCAATGCCCCAGTAGCCCAGGACAGCCAGTTCCCCTAACAGTGCATGTGAGAAGGTGAAGTGAACCCATGACAGGCAGCCTGTCTTGGACAAGTGGAAACATTGAAGACAAGGCTATTTCCTTCTTGAGGTTTTCTGAGGTGGCTGTTAGAACTTCTCTTAATGCAGTCACTGTCTTGAACCCAATCTCTAAACAACCTAAAACAAACAGAGGAGGATTTTCATTCACTATCTTCATGTGTGCAAGGTGGGAAAAGTTAGTTAATTGACAACACATAAGAGGATTCAATATCTTCCATCAGAGCAGAAGGCACTAACCATGCAAAAGCTTCAGTGGGAACTTGCAGTCCTCTTCTTTCCTCCATTGAAACTGTGCTTAAACATTCCCCAGTAATTAAGTATGCTTATGACTCAAAATATTTAAAGTTCCTTGAGGGAAGAAGATGTGCAGAGGCCTTGATCCACTGTATTTTTATGTTTGGGGTTATATTTTTTATGGAGGAGTTTGCATCTTATCTTCTCCTCCCCTGCATTGTGTCCTTAGAACAAGACTGTGGATATGCTTTTTCTCAAAATAAAATAATAATTTAGGAAACAGAACAGTGTTTGTCAAAAGAAACGAGGGTGGAGATTGTGGGTGCCAGCATGGTGGCTTGTACCACTTTGGGACGCTTTCAGAAATCATCACTCCTGTCATACACAGGATCCAATTTCAGCAAGAGTTCCACTCTCTCCTGTGGTTTCCACATGGCCAAATAAGACAAGTGCTTCTTGAGACCGAGGGCTCATCAGCAAGGATAGATTTTCTACCCACTGGTAGAAAATGAATAAACCTCAGATTGAGCAAGTTGCCAACATACTCTTGAATGTGCTGTGGAGCACCACTGTGGGATTGTGTAGGCATTGCCATGGCCAGGGAGAGACCAAATGGACGATCTGGTAATCTGAAACTTAAATTTAGCTGCAGTTCCAGAGGGATAGTCTGATAGCCTGCTTCCTAAGCCATTTCATGTACTGGACCTCAAAGATCCTCCCAGGCCCTGAAGTTGCTTTCTCTGAGGGTGTATTGTGCCACACCTGCATTTCAGACAGTTGGTTTTCAGTCCCTCCTCACTGATTCTGCCCCACATCCTGAGTTCTCTGGCTGAAGTGTGAGACTTCTAAATTTAGAAGCAATTATTTATCTCTGCCTAAGGGAAACTTCTAAGTATGATCTAACTTAAATTCTTACCTGTAGGGCAGGCTGCACAGCTGAACTTGCCCAACATGGAGAAGTAAAACAGGCACCAAACCCCTGCCTCATTTCTGGGGGAGGCCCTCAGATGGCTTCTGGGCTTCTCAAATCTCTGCATTACAGGGAACCTGCACACCTCTCCAGCAGCTGAAATCTTGAGCAGGGAAGCAGGGTGGTAGCAAAAGACTGAGCTAACACATGGTGAGGCCCAAGGAAATGGTGTCAGAAGCACAGCCTTTAGTCCAGAAACATAATCAAAGCCTGGGGAAGAGTGTGGCAAATGCTGGGGTCAGCACTGCAAGTATAAAGCAAAGCTGGACAGCCCCTGAGCAAAGCACAAGGCACTGCCCAAACCAAACCAAGATCAATGCTGAGCAGCTCAGGATATATCCACTGACTCCTTCCACCAAGCACAACACAAATGGAGTGGCCTTCACTGAGGCAAAACCCCGTGATCAAAACTGTATTGCGCAGCAGGATTTCTACTTCACCTTAATATCACATGCATTAATCCTCTGCAAAACTACTGATCCAACTCTCACACCACCATGGTACTGTGAGGGAGAAACAAAGAGCTGGGTGTGCTCAGGACAGGAAGAGCTGCAAGGTTCACACTGCCCAAAACCATAACTGACAGCGGATACATTATGGTATTTCTATAAGAATGTAAATACATAATGATGATTTCCCCTGAGAGGCCATATTTTCATTTCTTTACGAAACAATTAAGTTGAATTAAGATGGAATCTCTCCATACAGATGCTTCAGGAGTTGACATTACAGATTTCTCAGAATTGCCACTGTCTCAAAAGTGCCTAATTCAGAGCAAATTAATACAGCCTTGAAAGCTGATTTTAAGACAACTCTCCCAGACACAAGGTACTGGCTGAGGAAACAGTAAAAGAGAAAATGGGACACCAGGCATTGTGTGACATCAGGAAGCATATTTCTGTTTATTTGCCTTTCTTCAAGAACTCTAACTCACCATTAGGCAAAGGAGTGCATACAGGATGTACAAGAAAAAGATTAAAAGAGACTTCTTTATTATTGTATTCTGTGTCATGAAAGCCCACAGCCTTTTTTTTTTTTTTTGTGTGTGTGTGTGTGTGTGTGTGTGTGTGTGTGTATGTGTTTGTTTGTTAAAGGATATGTTTCTACTCTGGTTGAGGTGTTATAGTTCAGAGAACAACCCATCATCTGCAGGAAATCTCTTCAGAAAATTAGAAGTGAGCACAGCTATTTGCTGAGTGTTTTCCTGAACAAACACTGGCAGTGTTTGTCCAGGAAAAATAGCACTAATAGTATTTGACCAGACACTTGTGAATTTGTGAACCCTTAAGTTTATAAAGAAATAGGAAATCCATCTGCAGGGATAGGCAAAAGTGGTTGGAGTTGCTTCCACCTCAGCGGATTCCCACCTGCTATAAACTTGTATTTGCTCAGTACAGCTATGATAACCTGGCAAAGGTTCTGCCCAGGCATAGACAGCTTGCCCATAGTCCAACTCACTGCCTTAATAACTTCCATATATAATATTAAACCCCACAGTTTGTCTCCTAATATCCTTCACATGATGCTCTGTCTGCTCACATCCACATTATATGCTGATGAATTGGAACAGCCTCGGCCAAAATCAATGAAAATGCCTTCAGAATCTGAGTCAATTGACTCCAAAATCTGATCTACTATGTTTTCAGGGCTGGAAGAGGGAACTGGAAGTAAGGAAGTGTCTCTGTCAAGCTCAAAAGACCTGTGTGGGTCGCCAATTGAGTGGAAGAGTCCTTTCTGTTGCTCAGCTGTGCTGAGTTTGCTGGAGCACTGCACTGACCCAGTGCTGGGCCTCTCCTGGTCTCCTGGCAGTGAGCTTTTCATGGTTGTCATGGAGCTCTTGGAACCGTTATCCATGATGGTGGTGAGGTTGGAGTACCCCTGGAGCTCCAAGCAGGAGGTCATTTCTGAGACGGAGTGCCTTCGGATGCCAGTTCCGTTGGCAGCTATGCTCTCAGTTTCGTACTCGGCCACTGGCGTCAGCAGAGGATTGTTGTAGCTCTTTGATCGCACCACAGGGTTCTTGGCAAGGATGTCACCCGACTTGGAACGTCTGAAGAACCGCTTCTCTGTAAACAAAGATCCAGAGTAGTATCTGCAAAGTCTCCTATTATGGACTAATAATTATGAGTGTTCAAAAGAAATGTGAAGTCCTGAATATTCATAAGCTTTTCTTGAATAAACTTTTCTAGAAGAAGATATTTTACTGTTTTTGTAGATTCACAGGCTTCAGATTTCCTAGATTTCTTTAGCATACTGAAGACCCCAAATCTATCTTTACAAATAGTAACTGAGACTCTCTTATATTCACACAACTTCAGCAGCTGAAGTAAAACAGTGAATACAGTGGCAGAGGTGCTATACAGCTGTAATTACTTCATTTAGACAAGAACAGAAAGTGCAATTTTGGATTTTTTCAGGCCATAGAAGTAATTAGTCATCTATAGTAGCTGAAATTTAACTTTTCCACCCATCCTGGGAAAATAAAGTCTCTTTAAATTTGGAGCTTGAGGATTAAGACATGCAGTTTTTCTACTAATTCTGGAAAAACTTTCCAAGTATTGTTCAGAGACCACATGGGGGGGAGCACCAAGAGTGTCTGAAAATGTTAACTAGAGGGCAGTGCCCACAGAAACCTCTTTATGGGGGAGAAAAATCTGCATTCAATCAAGTAGTGATTGCCTGAATGCTGTTAACCAAGTGGGATTTTCCCAAAAGATAAGCAGCAGATGGCAGCAAGTGATCATGGAGCTCCCTCTCTGGCAGTGGTTTAGTGCTGGAGTGTCCTGACAGTGTGAATAAAATGACCATCACGAGCAAAACGACCACCACTCAAACTCTGTGCAGGTCTCAGTGCTCAGATTCACTCCTGCTATTAGAAGAACAAGTGGTGTGAATAATAGGTCTCACTTTTGAAGCTTTCTTTCTGCTAATCTCACTTTGCCATCCAATGAAAGAGGCACAGCTGGAGCAGGGAATCAAATTACCCTCTGGAAGTCAACCACAACCACTGCATACTGCCTGCTTTAAATCAGGATGCTGGTATATGCTCCCTGCAAGCTCTGCAATTTCCTTTACATATTCCAATCTCAAAATTATACTATTGTGTAATTATGTGCTTACCTGGACACAGATCATATTCTGTACTACTAAAAAAGCCAATTTCTGTATTTAAGATTCTATTTTGCAGTTGTATCTGCTTCAGCAGTGAAACAATCTGATCCAAGTTAATTTTAGGACTTTTTCTTTGTTAGGAGTTTGAGCTGGCAAACAGGTTCCTGGGGCTATGAACTCTGGTCACAACATGCAACATGCTAGCAAAATAGCTGAGGAGAATTAGATGCATTAGTTTAACAGAAGCAACCATTTACACACTCAGCTCCCTTGGATCCAGGTTCAGTGATTACAGCAAGACCCATTTCAGGAGTATTGCTGCAAGAGGAAGTGCCCAGCCCACAGAAACCTTCCTATTTTCTGCAGACATGTAATAAGGCATTTATTAACTAACAATTTGTTTCACTGGTGCTTTATTCTCTTTGGGTGCATTATTTTCTATCTTGTCATACAAAAGGTTGTATTTAGAAAAGGTCTCCTTTCTAAAGGATTTAGAAATTTGGGGCTCCATTTAAATGCTTGCGGCCTTTTAATGGCAAGCAGTGAATACAAAGCAGTAATCCTGAACAAGTTTCCATAAATAACCAGCCTCTATTTATTAATGTAAAACTCATTTGTTTCTTCAACACCTGCTGCAACACAACCATTTTGCCACTCAGCTTCAACTGAAAATCAATTACTTTACTGACCATTTCTGACAAGCAGGATTGAATTGACTACAGATAAAATGGGCAATTGAACTTATTTTCCCTTCTGTCTGCCCTGTTCAGTGAGGCCACCCCAGTATTTACAATAAAATACTCAGGTACTACCACATTTCCTTTTTCATTTACACTGGCAGTATCCCCCTTGTATTTTCAACAGATTGCATTGCTAAACAGGATATTCCACCTTCATCCTGGCTAAATCCTGCCATCACAGAAGTCACCAAAGGCTTCAGAGCTCCAAGAATCAGAAATTAAGCTGAAGGGAACTCAAGCTGCCACTAGGCCAGCCCGCATTTCCCCCTTGCTCCTTACAGATGCTGATGTACATGACAGGTAAAAAGTGTCTCAGCAGTGAAGATTCAATAACCTCCAGAGGAAATTCACATGGAACTAGGTATTTTTCCTTCCACATAATATGAATTCCCCCTGCTATGTGAGACCCACTGTGTATTTCTCATCTTCATTGAGATTACCTTCTACTCTGCAGAAAGCTTTTACATGTTTGAAGGCTTATGTGTTAGTCTTCTCTAAGACAAATTCCTATACTCTTCCCTAATTTTAACAGCCTTGTACAATCTTTGTGTACTAATGAGCACTAATGAAAATGAACTACTGAGTACTTTAGAAGTGGCTTCTTGCTTCTTCCTCTCACTGTTCATCCTGTGTTAACATCCTGTGTTAAAGCTCTCTTGCTACATGGTGGAATAGAAATTCTAAACACATTCTAGATTCATTTTACTGATTTTTATTACTACGCACTCTTATGATGATGATCTGTTTTCATCTTTTGCCACTGCCAGTTTCACTGTGACTCTGCAGAGCATGGTTTTAGAAAAGAAGGCTGATGTATTCATGTAAGCTCTGTCAGTCACCTCTTGTGCAGGCCCTGGCCCAGCATGGAGGAAGGTTTTGGGAAGTCCTCTGTGCTGTGCCAAATGAAGTCTGTGTTGTTCTTACCCAAGATACAGGCAGAGTGTGTGAAGGGTCCATCACTGGAATACAGACCATACGTGCCCAAGTAAGGAGAAACAACCTTCTGGATCAGGGATTCCAGTTTCAAATAATCTTCAGTCACACCTTTCGACTCATGAACTCCCTGAAAAAGAGGAAATACCCAAGATGAGCACTGCCCCCTTCAATCACAAGCTCTCCTGGCTCACCAGGGCAACCAGAGAAGAACAAGCATTTTCAATGAGTAACAGCAAAGGTGCTCTGCAATGTGATCCTCGTTTGCTGGTACAGCTGATTCCTCTTCTGTAAAGCCAAGAGATGTCAATCAGACCAGAGCTACTTCCAGGACATTTAAATCCAGGAAAGTACATCCTATTTACTGCAAAGCACTCAGGGAAGGATAGAGGATGATCTGTGAAAGGAACTAAATACATCCCTAGACTTTTTGCTATTGCAATCTTACAGTGACTTCCTGAATGATAACATTTGGTACCACAGGGTGTCAGTGCCATCCCAGCAATACCAACAGTACTAAGAAAAAGGTGAAGCTGAGACCCTCAGAAATATTTCTTCCAGGATATTTTCAACAACCAATATTTACAGTAAAGAAGTTTGTTCTCTTTCCTCATCCCTCCCCTGGCATCTATCATCTTCCAGGCAAAAGCCACATTATAATTCGCATGCAAAGAGTCACCCACAGGCAAAATGTTTAGTCTTCAGCTGTTAAATCTCTACTTCCACCCACAATGAGACTTATTAGGCTGCAGAGGTGACAGAAAAACCTTGCAGAGTTCTATCCTCCCTTCAGCTTACAGGTGCAGAGTACGTGCTCCAGTCTTGTCTGAGCAGGGCCCCATACACTCATGAGTAAGATACCTCTTGCAATGCAGAGCAAATTCACATTTTCATGTGCTCAACACATCATGTGTTCTTAGAATTAAGATCCTAAAATGCCATACTCAGTAAGAACTCTGCCAGAATTTAGGAGAATTTATGTGTTCCTAAGTTATTGTAAAAAGAAACTCATTGGGATGAAAGCCTCCTGAGAGCAATATTAAGATTAGATGAGTAAAATTGCAACATTTCCTTCAGCGTGTGAAAGGACTTTGACGTTGAGGATGTGTTCACAGCTCAGTATGACTCACCAACCAGAGTCTAGGGTGACTCTCAGATGTGTTTCTGAATGGCTGACTCCATCCCCTGGTTGCTGCACTGCCTCAGTGCTGCCTTGTCACTTGATAAAAGTTTATGAAAGGAAAATTAATAATGGGCAACAGAGAATTCAAATTTGGAGAGAATTTGGATTTGGACAGAATTTGAATTCCAGTTCAGTAGTTTTAAAATAACAAATAATTTCTGGTGATGTGCTATGTCCTGAAAAACTTTTGGACAGCCACAAATACAAATCTGAGCACAAAGGCATATCCAGTGGATCTGAAAGCTTGCAAGAATCTAAGGAACATCAGAATGAGCCCTCAGCTATGCTGCCAGGCAAAAATAACATTGGAATAATTCAGAAGACTTAATGAAGGTGCACATATTATTTCCAAGTCATCACTGGCCTATTGAGATCTGTTCCAGAGTTTCTTGCTGTCATTTAGTCAAGCCCTCCAAAAGGCAATATGCCTGCTACCTTACTACAAATTCACAATCCCATCATGATCACATCAAGCAAAGGCCAGGGCTTAGAACATCCTGCTCCAGGCTCCCACATTAAATACCTCTGGAACTGGTCTCCTGAACATGACATATATGAGTGGCAGAAGCCAGTGATATTTAGCACTGCTCACACCCAGACTGTAGAGCTTTATTTACTTCTCTACCATTTTAGCATTTTTCATACTTGCGAAAGACAAGTAGCTACATATCAGCTACGGAGAAAGAACCCTATCACGTTCCATTGTGGGGAACTGAGAGGAGTTATTTTAGAACTAGATGGTCTAGAATGGAATTAAGTCAACCGAGACAACCTTGTATCTGAGAACTATTTATTGGTAACCAAAAGAAACAACAATAAAAAAGAAGTTGTCCTACTAAAGAGGGCTAGAAAAGACAGGGAAATATGAAGGAAAATGGAAAATGAATGGGGAGGGAGAGGGCAGACGGCAGACAGAGAAGGAAAGCGGGCATTCCCACAGCAGGATGGGCAGCGCTGTCGCTGTCCATGCGGCCGGGTCACCTCACGCTGCCCGCCGGGGAGCCCGCGCAGCTCCCGGGGCGGCGCGGCCCGGCAGGCCCGGCCCCCGCGGCTCCCGGCGGCCGCACTCGGGGAGCGCTCGGCCAGGAGCTGCAGAACCCTGGACAGGGGCACGGGGGTGTCACGGCAGCGGCCCGGGCCGGAGACAGCCAGGGCTGGACGCCGGGGGCTCAGGCAGGGACACAGGGAGGCGGGACAGGCGGTAACTGGGACGGGCGAACGGGTAAGGCCCGATACAGGCTGGACACGGGGCTCAGAGGTCAGCTGGTGTCCCGCCAGTCGCTCAGACAGAGGGAAGGCGAGTACGTGGGAGTGAGCGAGTGCCAGCAGGGGCAGGAGAGCCAAAAGGCAGGCTGGAGCCAGGGCAAAAAAGGACAAAAGGCAGGCTGGAGCCTGGGCGAAAAAGGACAAAAGGCAGGCCAGGGCTAGGGCAGAGGTGCGGACTGGAGCTCAGCAGGCTGGAGCAAAAGCAAAAACACAAGGCTCAAAAGGCCCCCAGACTCAAAAAGCCCCAACTCAAAAAGCCCCAGGATCACCAAGCCCCAAGGAAACAAGTCTGAAAACACCCCAGAGCTTGTGATGCAGTTACTTTCTATGCCCCCTGGCCCGTCCCCAATTCTGCCTGCTGGCAGGAGAGCACTGGCCCAGTCCAACCTTCCACTGCAGTCCCTTCCCCAGAGACAAGGCTTCCCCCATCTTCTAGTTGTCTCCTTCATGTGGCACATGTGCACCCTCTCCCCCAAACACCTCTGACAATCAGTGTTGAGACAAATAAAAACTAAACTGGCTCCTCACCAACCCCAGTAACTCACTAATTGCCACACTGCTCACAAAACTACTCCTACCACTAGCAGAACTGTATGAGTAATGGAAGTGTCCTTGCCTAGTGGCACCTTAACACTGTTTTCCTATCAGCCTTCAGGTCTGAAGAGTTCTTTTGGTTGTGAATTATGTATTCTGATGAACTCCTCAAAAGTCAGAGCTATATTCTGCATGGATTACTGCTCTTGCAGGGCTATAAGGAGACTTCCAGCAGCTCTACTGGGCTGGGATAGGCTCCTGTGGTAAGCTGAGAGAATGGAGACTTGACGCCCAAGCTACAGCTGCTAGGACAACTCTCCACTGTGGGACCAAGGAGCTGCACCTGCAGAGTCCACTGGCTCTTTGCTCCTGAGAAACACTCTGTTCTCTCAAAAACCCAACTCCCTCACCACCTGCGTCAGCTTCTTCTTCAGTCTTGCCCTCACCTTTCATTTCTGCTCTCTCAAAGCAGTGCTAATCTCCAACTCTTTTTCATTTCAGCATCTTTTAATTGTCACCTTTGAAGTGACCACTGAATTTTACTATTACAGTGTAAAACCACTCAGTATTGACACAGGCTGCTATTAGTTTTAATGCTCAGCTCTGCATTCCAAGGGATTATTTTAAAAACATACTGAATACTCGTAAAATATGTGGTGTTCACAAGCCAGTGTCGATTTCTACTCTGTGGCTTGGCACAAACATGCTCTATCACCTGTGACATCCTTCCTGCATTCACTATTGTTTAAAACTTTCCTGCAGGGGCCTGGTGGAGCAAATCCCTTAAACCTTTTACTTGCTGTGGAGCTTCTGTCACAGTAGGAGCAGAACAGATCCTGTCCTGACCCCACAAAAGTTTTACTGCATTCCTTTCTGTGCTACTCAATGACACAATGACAAGCATCCTCTGGGCCTCTATTTTACCAAATACAAGTACATTCCAAAGTTCAGCAAGGACAATTTTGGCTTTCCCAATCTGTATTTTCCATGTGATCTAATGACACTGTCACTTATTTATGAATCACCCCAGCCCAGGTAGCCTAGAGAAGTATCTGCAGGCTCAGAGCAGGCTTTAGGAGCCTGGAAGAAGCTTTTTTTGATTTAGATGCCAGGCCCAAGAGTGTATTTAAACTCCTGTCTCCCCACCAGAGACAGCCATATGCCTCTGGGACACCATCCCCTATGCCAAATGTGCAATGCTCTTTGTGTAACACCAAATTCAGCAGAAAGGTACTTCTGGTAGAAGTTTAGGAATGGAGGATAGTTATTATAAATGTTTCATATATCTGTATGTAAAGACAGATAAATAGATAGATAACTATGTATATACATCTGCACACCTACATACATCAGTATCTATATGAAGTCCTGTTTAGACCCTTCCCCAAATCTGCATGTGATTTGTGCTTATAAAGGCAAACAAAATGAGATTTAGAGTTAAGCCAGCTTGGATGGTTATGTGTGTCACAACAGTTTCTGAAAAATTATGACAGGACTTAAAAGTCACCAATGAAATAATAATAATAAAGTATTTTCCTGTTATTTTGGCAGCTTATGCTTCTTGGACTTACTGCTTAGCTTACAAGAAGCCCTATCACTATTTGGAGAAAAAAGAAAACTTGGAGCATTATCAGTAAAACAGAGATTCTACCCGTATCTTTAATGCAATATTTGCTCTGCAGACCTGCAAAAACTTACTTTAAAAGATAACTGTGACCTTTCATGAACCCAATCTCATTTTAGCAGGAGAGTTTCATGCTTCTCTGTGAGAGTGAGATGTATCTATTAAATTCCTTTCAAAGACCTTGCCTGACTTATTTCTTCTGCAATTGAGGGCCAAAATAGCTCGATATCAAATATCTGCAAGCACCTTAGTAGTTTTGGAAGAGTGGAACTGCTGGATCAAATCCTCACATTGATCACACTGTTTCAAAATGCAACAAGAATCACCTCATTATGTTTTCATCTGGAAAGGATTATAATGTAATATTATGACAAGAGTCTGCCCTACTCTAAAGGCATGGGGATAATGAGGATTTGAGTCCTGAATATGTAACTATTTACATAATAAATAAGACATTTATTAAGAACAGAGACATGTATTACTGCATGAAATACAGAACTCAAGTCCATTAACCTTAATTAAA